TTTATTTGTTGAAACAGTATACGTGGTAAAATAAATCTATAATTTCTTTGAAAAGGTCTTATATTATTAGAATTTTTGTTTAAATCAACTTCATGGGGTTGTAGTGGATTTGATGAATTCATTTGGGCTACGGCTAGTCTTAAACAAAAAAAAATAATAAAATTAAAATAAAATATTACAAATTATAGTTCGAAGGCATTTTGTTAATAGATTTCAGTTCTTACTGTTCAGAAAATTCTCCAGAGTCTGCTACAAATTTACAAGTAGCGGTTCCACATTGAAAAACACAATCATTCTCTTTTAACTCTGATTGTGACCAACTAAAGATAACTTCGTAGAAGCTCTCATTATCTATAAACAAAACGTAACCTTTAGTTTTTAATTTCGGGTCTTGTCAAATGTTCCAATAGTCATAATTAACCAATTGCTTCAGCCTCTGTTTGCTAGCTTCACCTTGAAATGAACAAGAATATTTTCATTGTACAGAACTATACCGGAAAGAAGGCTCATTCTCAAAAAGGTAAACAAATATATTTTCAGGAAAGGCATTAATTGAAACTTGTTTTGTGCCTATAGAATGTCTATTAAAACCAAGTCGTTTTTTTATAAGTACTATAAACGCATCCTGATAAAATATGATTTGTTCAAGAGAAGGTTGGCTAAGTAAATAATGGTGAGGTATAATTTTGTTATTCTAATGCTTAATTTTCTCATGAATTACAAACTTTTTACGTGAAGAAAAAATTTCATTACAAAGTTGACAATTATTAGCCATTGAAGTTCTATCTGCTATATATTGATATCAATATGTTTATAAATTTATGATTATCCAAAAATTTTTATTAGTTAATCTATTTTTAGATATCACGAATATCATGTTCAAATTCATGTGACATATTCGAATTTCCGAAATCCGCCCATATGGAAAACTTCACATGATCATATTAACTATTGGATAACATTATTATTGGGCATATATACGACAAATAACAGCAAATTGTTTTTTTTCATCGGAGTTAATTTCACTCATGTGCTGCTACGCAGCACATAGAGTGACATTAATTCTGACAAAAAAAACAATTTGCCGTTATTTTTTGTCATCTGCCCAATAATATACACATATACGGTAGTACATATATAACCAGAGTTTTATTAATGCAAAGCATGGGTTCAAAATCAGTGCATATGATTGGATGTCAACTATTTGACGCACCTAGCATATTATATAATGATCTACATATGGTCAAATTTAGATACGTCAAAAATTTTGGTGTGATCTACAAATCCGCCGATATGATAAGATTTTGTAAAATTTTATTAATAAAATTTTATAAAATCTTATATATCTCAAAAATTTACTAATTGATTCTAACTTCATGCACTAAGTAAATTTGTTCAGCATCTAAAAATATATATAAATATATTTGAACTCAGACTAGTCTGCAGACTTCAGATCAGACCCGGACCAAACTCAGACTTGACTAAAAAGTCTGAATATAAAAGTCTGAGTCCGGTCTGAAAATCAGACCAGACTCAGACTTGACTAAAGTCTGGTTCAAGTCTGGTCTATAGGAGCACTACTAGAAATGAAGCAGAATGTGAATTGGAATTAAATACATATTTGTTGTCAATTTTAAACAAATTCATTAATAAAAAAAAGAACGAATCGAATATAATTGACATAATAGTAAAAAATCAAAAAGGCGTTGGCAGTCAATCGAAATGGTGTAAAAAGTATAATAAAACAAATATTGATAATAAAAAATGTAATTGCCCTAACTATAATAAAAAATTAGACACATTAGCTACATTATAAGCAGAATTAACTAATAAGTCTATTGAAATTAATAGTATGACTTCTTAATTAAAACCCAATATAATAAAATCAGGGTTGGTCAAATCACTGGTCGACCAAAAATTCATTAGTCAAACTGGTCTGGTCAAATTGGTCAAGTGGTCTGGTCAAATTGGTCAAATGGTTAGCCAATCAAATTAAAGATTTTAATTATATAAAATTTTAATAAATAAATTAAATTATTATTAATTAATTCAATTAATTTAACTAATTTAACTATAATTAAACTAGTTAAATTAATCAAATTAATTAAATTTAAAAAGCTGCTGAAGTTTTAACTTCAGTTGCATTAGCTTTTCCTTTTAATAATCTTACCAATTTAAATTTTTTGTTGCAAAGCAATAAAATTAACTTATATAATTATTAGCAAAAACTGCTTTATAGCAACAAAAAAATTAACTTTTTTTCACATTATATTTTAAAAAAATTTTGTTTATATGCAATCTATAATAATTCTACAGTTGCTACTTCACACTAAAAATAGTATAGATAATACAAAAATGGTTTTAAAGAATTATAACCTTTATTGTTATTAAACATGAAGCAAAAAACGAAATAGCAGTATTTATTATAGTTTATTAAAAGTTAAAATATAGGCCATATCTATTACATTCATATCAAGGTATTAATTAATTGTTTTAAAACTTCAAGTATTAAAATAAAGAGGCTATTTAGACCGGTTAGAAATTTGTTAAAAATTGATATTCAAAAAATACAAAAATGTAAAAGTAATGCTTGAGCGACCTTTATCAATGCTAAATTTTTGGAGAAAAAAAGGTGGTTCATATTTTGCTAACTTAAATAGTAACTTACTTGATTAATTTATTTATTTTCCAACTAGTGTCACGGTGATATACAGTATGCGGTAAACTTGTATGGGAATAAAGGTAAAACGAACGATCAATCGTCATATTGTGCATGTAATACACGTGACAAGTAAGTGATCGATCAGGAATTAAGGGATCAAATAATGATCAATTATGCAACCGTTGGTATTATGTGATATTATGCTGAAGTAAGGTAATCAATACGCATGAAATATAAGGTAAATTTATGTAGTAATATGCAGGGATGGTAAATGACCTGGTCATTTGCTCAAAATTTAAATGACTAAGTCATTTGGATAAATGACCCAGGTCATTTGGTCATTTGGTCATTTGGGTCATTTGCATATAAAGTAATTTTATTGGTCAGATAGCTAATATAAAAAGTTATTATACACTGTAATTTCACTAATTGATGATCATAGCTACATATAAAAGTTCAAATTCTACTAAATTAAGCGATATTTATGTCTTAAGTAAAGTTGTTCAAAAGAACAAATTGCATATATCTCAAAAATTTTATATGATTTAATTAACTTTTTATTATGCTATTTTTGTATTTTACGTTTATATGAAAAAATTTTAAATTTTTTCGTATAAACGTAAAATAGAAAAATGACTTAATAAAAAGTTAATCAAATTATAAAAAATTTTCAAGATATATGCAATTTGTTCTTCTGAACAACTTTACTTAAGACATAAATATCAATTAATTTAATAGAATTTGGACTTTTGTATGTAGCAACGATTATCGATTATATTTTATAAAAATTACTTCTTGTATAATAATTTTGATTGGCTAAAAGGTGTTAGATTATCAATTAACAAATGTTAAATGACCCTCTAAGGTCATTTGGCTTTTGAAATGACTCATGACCGGTCATTGGTCATTTGGGTCATTTGGGTCATTTCAGATCATTTACCATCCCTGGTAATATGAGAGTCAAACGGTCATATGATCGTATGAGCAAATTATGATGTAAGTAATGTGACCCAAAGTATGTATAAGTAAAGTGAATGTAATAGTAGTTAAAGAGTTAGTTTGAATTAGTCTCGCTTTTAATTAATAAAGTTCATTTGAGTAATAAACATAAAGTACCTGCCTTAAACATAACCCATTAGTATTGTCTTGTAAATAAACTTATAATCGGCTGTGGTAAAGTGATCAAGTGCTCACCGTTTGGACTAGGTCATTCTGTGATGAAAGTCATAGATTAACCTGCGACACTAGCTATTACTATGACGTACTTAATATATCAATCAATTATACAACATTACTAATCGATCACGTTCATATCAATACTAATTTATTGCTCATACTTACATCATGAGTTATGGGTTTTGATCTTGGAACAAATGGATGCCTCATGACTTCATCTTAGAAACAGCTTCTAAATACACTTGAGTTGATTAAATTCACCCAAATTTTGAACTAACTTATAGATCCACTTAGCGCATACTTAATTTGAAATAAAAAGCTTTGAATTCAATGTAAACAGTATTATATCACAAAGCTATTTATGCATATATCCTAATAATATTCTATATCGCCACCAAAATTAGTTATATATAATAGAGCTTAAATTTATTAATTAATAATAACAATTTATAATGAAAATTTCAATTGCAAGCTCAATTAGGATTCTAAATAGTTTATCGAAAATTTACGTTGATAATGAAAATCTATAATAATATTATTCATTTTAATATTTATAAAGTTTTGATAGGTCAGGGCAAAAAAAAAGGTGGTTAGGGACAAAAAATTTTTTGACTAAAATGGCAAACTCACCGTTCATTTAAAATTTTTTTTCATGTAATAAACCACCTTATACTCGATTGATCAATTAAAATAATTAAAATTTAATTCCCGACACAGATGCCCTAAGCCTAAAATAGTCATCTTGGGAAAACTTTGTTGCACAATTTTTCACTCAGAAACCAAATATTTATTTATTCAAAACAATGTCCAATAACAAATTCAAATAAATACTACATATCTCTATAAATTTTTTTTTTTGTTTTTATTTTTTTTTATCTTTTTTTTTATTTTTTTAGTTTTTTATTTTTTTTTTATATATATCGCAACCTTTTTAATTTATATTTAAACTTTCCAAATTCTTCAATAAAATCCATATAAGTAGAAACTAATTATCTAAGATAATTTTTTCATATGTACCCATTAAGCTTGATTATTTTGAATCGATTGCAGACAATAGATTCATGTGTAAGTTCTGGTTTGATGAAACATTTTTGATTTAAATATAAGTAAGAATTACAAATTTAAACTCTAATTATTTATACTGTATTCAAATACAACCCACCTATTGTGTTGTTTCGACATTTTCAATGTCTTGTTCAATAATTCGAACAAACGATGGTTGGGTTAAAATACGCGAAAAAAGGTATTGTAGTTCAATTTTTGAATTTTCATGATCGGCCGGATGGCAATCAAGTCTATCAGCAGTATTTAAGGTACCTATGCTTATTTCTTCAGGCTCTTCATTTTCTTCAAGCTCCTTATTTTCTTCAAGTTCTTCATCTTCATCTATTTCAGTCCATTCTTTAATGATTGATTCGCCATCAGTCAGATCTTCGTCTGTGTCATTATCACTATTATTATCGCTTTCTTCATTATCAATCTCTTCGGTTATGTTTTCACTATTATTTTCATTATCAGCAAGCATTGAAACATTCACGATATCGCTGAGATTAATTGTGCTGGATTCTGATTGTTCGTAAGAAGATGTTTGTATATCATAATTAACTGAACTTATAATTTGATTCCTAATAGCTATATTTCAGATCATTTCAATTTTTTCTTGACGTTCCTGCCATGCCATCTCTGCTGCGATCTGTGTCATTTGAAAAACTGGTTTTATCTGCAGAATAAAATACGATTATATAGAAGTTTTAATAACTACTATAGCATCACAGCTTGTGCTAAAAACAGCCGATGCTAAAAATTAAACCTATTTTTATTTTTTTGTTTTTTAGACCTAATTTTTAGCATTAGATGTTTTCTGTTTTAGCCAATTACTGTATCTTGAATATACTGTATAAGCTAAATAATACAAGAAAGTGACACATGAACGTCACCACCCAAAATTTTTATTGACCTTATAGTCATAAATTTTAAAATGTGAACTGATTTGGCTTCATGCATCGCGGATCCATGTGATACAGCAATAATTTATAGGAATAATCCTATATAGAAATCAATAACTCAACCCTTACCTTAAGGCGACATCGTTGAGAAGTATGAAACCACCCCATGCGAGAAAAAAGTCGTTCACATGGAGCTGAATTGACTTTAATGCTGAACAGTCTTTGTGCAACCATGCCGATTTCTTTTAGATTAAGTGCAGCGAACTCCCAATACCGCAGTAGTGCAAGCCCAACTACATTATTTGCCGTCTTACCTTGTATGTTGTGTTCTTCTGAAATCGCTTCAAGAGTATTATTAAACCGTTCATCTGTGAAAATTCCTCGCTTCATATAATATTCTGTTAATTCCAATGCGACATGCCTTGGTTTTTCATTAAACCACTTTTCGTAATAATACTCAGTCCAGTTAGCTATTCGTTCAAGACTAAAAAAAACTTGGCTTGATAAAGCATGAACTCGAAATTGTGGATTAAATATAACTGCTAAAAAAAGCAATGGCTGTTCCCAGTCAGCCCAACGTTTTTCAAGTTGCTGTAACATTGCATAACCGAATCCGCCAGTTTCGTCCTCATACTGTTGTGCAACATATGCGAATGAATAGATTACATCAAATAGAGTTGCAGCATCACGTTGAAGGTAATCTAAAATACTAACAAATGGCAGCAAACAATCGGCAAGCTCATCAACATTTTTCCAAAATGTTATACTATCTATAGCAGCTCGTGCTTTATTTGATAGCTCATTTGAATTTACATAAAGAATTGAATATGATTGCAAAGCCCGTTTACTTCTAATAAGGGCAGCAAAACAATAATAATAGGAATTCCATCGGGTAATTACAGGACGAACAAAGCTATAAATTGTCTTATAAATTCTTTGTTGTTCATTATGAAGTAATGATATTGCTTTTGTATGTCTTCGGTCAGTAAAATATGCTGCTATTTCAATTGCCTGATCTGCTGTACGTTTGTATTCTGATGAACATTTAAAAATATCACCAATGCAAAGATTGGCCTGATGCGCAAAGCACGGCAGGAACACGAGATCTGGCCTTTCTAATCGTATTTTGCGTCTAATTAATAATTAAACATTATGATAAACAAAAAATTTTATTGCATTGTTATTCAATTAAAATTAAAAATAAAAAAAAGTTTAATAAAAATTATTTTAATATAATGCTATACTGTGCCGAGGCATAAGATGATGCGCTATCAGTTACCATAGCTACTACATTTAGATTTTGTGTTTTTGCACGTTCTAAAAAAGTATGTATTGTGTTTAATACATTGGCTGTTTTTTGACTAGTGCCACTTATGTCTTCAGCACCCCATATATATAATTTGTTTGTTGCTGAAAGAACAACAGCACCTAGAATTTCTTGGCGGCGCACATTCTTCCACCCGTCAAACATAATAGTAACTGGTTCCTGCGTTTTTAAAAGAGCAGAAACTTGAGAACTTTCTAATTTTTCAGCATATTCTTTAAGAATTTTTTTGCTTAATGTTCGTCGACTCGGAATCTTAACAGTGGTATTAAAAAAAGCAACAAACTCGTGAAAAGTTCTGGTTCCAGTAAACCGGAATGAGAGACCATTTTCAACTATCATACGAAGAAGGCGACGATGAAATTCATTCTGCTCAGTAGGTGATAACTGACGAACAACAAAGTAGGTATCTAAGGATGGATTTGTTTGTTTGGTTCGTATTCGACGTGATACTGATGTTAGTTCTGATGTATCTGAAAGTCTAGCACTGGAACCTGAAGAAACACCAAACATAGCTAATGTATTAGTTTGAATTCTTGCTTGTCTTAATGTCATAACTGCATTTCGCGCTGTTGTTTCATCAGGATCTGGATACATCATTATTTCTTGGTCTTCTTCAACCCAAACCTCACGCCAATAGGAACACTTTTTCCAATGCCGTTGTACACAATCCCATCTATTAAAAAATCTCCATTTTTCATAAACTTGCCATAACGCAAGACCGTCATTTCTCCCTTTTTCAAATAAACCTTCTTTGCTTTCACAGGCTTTACATATAGCCCGTTTAGCTTTTTGTGTTGGACCCAAATCATTTTGTACATGAATGTATTTTGTTAATCTATGATTATAAGGTTGAAGCATATTTGAAATTTAATTATAACATGGAAATTATCGAATGATTATTTATATAATGATGATTCATGTACAGTTATTATAACGCGCCATATATATATTTTAGACCCAATCTTTGGCGAATCTCACGTGACCAAAAAGGTAGCCACGATTCACAGTTTCGAAGCATGTCACTACATACAACATCAAGAAGATGAAACGAGATATAACAGGAATACTGGCGTGGGAAGATTGAATACAAATAAAGAATAATGCTTGTCAATATATGTCACAGCAGAAATGTTGAGCAACTGAAGGAGCCGGAAGAAAGCAAGTGCGCGTGCATATACATACGCGATTCTGCCATTTTCTCATTTCTCTGTTTACAGCCGCCTTGCTTGACAGATGAGCAATGACCATCAGTGAAATATTGAGCAACTGAAGGAGCCGGAAGAAAGCAAGCGCGCGTGCGCATACATACATAGCCATTCTTTTCATTTCTCTTCTCACAGCCGCCGCCTTGCTTTTTCTTCTGGTTTTCTGTTCACAGCCGCCTTGCTTGATATATGAGTAATGACCCATCAGTGTAATGTTGTTGAACAATTAAAGGAGCTGGAAGAAAGCAAGCGCGCGTGCGCATACATACATAGCCGTTTTTCTTATTTCTCTTCTCACAGCCGCCTTGCTTTTACAGGTGAGGAATGACCACTGTCAATCCTGAAATGATTCTCAGTGCAATCACGATTGTTAGTGTCATGGATATTGCTATCATTCTGACTAAATTGGTTAATCTCCAGTCCAAATTATTTGCCAATAAATAATCAGGTGAGAACGTACAAAATATTCCGGTGAATTTGATATATACCAATTTTAGAGAACTGGCAGTCCAAACAAAGTACTTACGTATGTACGTCATGTACGCGAGTGCTTTTCATAGCATTTTTCCTGACAGTGACATGTGTGCATTTACAAATATTACAATATTTGTGTAACTTGACCAGACCAATTTGACCGATCAGTAGCATTCACGATATTTGTGTAACTTGACCAATTTGACCAATTTGACCGCGGTCAAATCGGTCAAATTGGTCTGATTGATGATCAGTAGCATTCACGATATTTGTGTAACTTGACCAATTTGACCAATTTGACCGCGGTCAAATTGGTCAAATTGGTCTGATTGATGATCAGCGATATTTGTGTAACTTGACCAATTTGACCGCGGTCAAATTAATAATTAAAACAAGATAAAACCTGCTATAAATTCTAAATTGGTTTAAAAAATTTTTTTTTTATCCTTTAGAAAGAGTGCCATATACTTGTCGTGTTGAATAACGAAAATCTATCCAGATCTATGACTAACGATCACTCGCTTATTTATTAAGAACGATATTAATGACAAATATAATAAGCAAGACTTTCTTTATTTCTTGAATATTTGCATGATTATCACTATAATAATGACGTTTTACTAATTACATAATTTATTTGACTTTATTATAGTTCCTATTACGCTTTGGGTTACCATCACTCACGTGACAGTACTATTTAGTTCAGTATTTGAACTGTACAGTTCAAATTCTGAACTAAATTTATTTAAGTTAGCATTCTTTCTAAGGTGGTAAAAAAATTTTTACCCCAATTTAACTAGAATTTATATCAAGTTTTTATCTTGCTTTAGTTTGAAATAGAGTTCCAATCCATTAAGCATTTATCCGGATAACT